TTACGGATGCGCAAAAACGTTATTTTCTTCACCAGAATTCAATGAAGGCTGTTCTGTTGAATCCTCTTGTGCAGCAGACTGTTTAAGGTAAAGCTGGTTTCTTATTCACGCAATATACCGGCCACTTCCCAGGCGCTGCTCTAGCTTTAATATATATTGAATGGGGAAAGAGGTCTGTACATGACGACATGCACTCTATTGACATAAATGGGACCTTGGCGAACCACTGGCTTCAGTGGTCTTTTGTCCTTAGCTCTAAAGGGATTTTTGCATTGATTACTTTTTTAATGGCATGTACAGTTATCTATCATAACTCCCTTTAATGTAGCTTATGTTTTTTTATTTGAACAGCGTCGTTTTAGATTTTCTTGCTAAGGTATCCGGGGACAGTAATTTATTCATAAATGACCGTCACTTCACACCTTTTTCTGAAAACAGTTATAATCGTTTTTGCCCGATATCTGACTTTAAAACTTAAAGAAATATAAGATATAAGAAACAAACTAGAGGCCTTACTTAATGTCCTCATTCGAAATAATGATAGCGGCGAAGACAAATATCCTCTAATATGCATTTTCTTGGCCAAACCACCCACCCACCTTCGCCCGATGCTCTTGATCAGTGTAGGTTTGTGTTAGAAGACAAACAAGTGGCAAAGTGAGTACTTTCATCTCAACTACTATAAGATAACAAAGTATGAACGAATGTTTTGTTCGACCATTTCTAATTTTGCTCAAGCCTTTGGGGAATTGGTTCTTACAACAATAACATTTTTGAAAACGGAATTTCTTGAGATCAAATGTCCAAGAAAACATCTTGGAGAGTTTCAAATTGGTTTATTTATGATCCTACACATTCTTATGCGAACTTGATAACGTTTCTCGTCCGTTTAGCACTAGTAAGATTTAGATTGATTCTATTCACAGTACCTTTAGTAAGTTGGTTCTGATGAACTCTTCGTGCTCTCGGAATCTGTTCTCAACTCTCTGTTCTAACTGTTCTTGCACGTTACCGTGGAGCTGAGACCTTTCTTTTGTTTCTTGAAGTGCCTTCGATACTTCATTAATTTTTTCATCCATCATTGTTTCGAACTGTTCCATTTTAGTCTTTATTGCTTCCAGTAGTTCATCGTTCGTTGGGTTTTCAGTGTTGTCTAGTTGGCACAGGTAAGCAATATCCTGACGAAGAACAGCGTTGCTCACTGTGCTCGAATGCATTTCATCTTTAGATGACTCTCCTCTACCAAGTCCATGATTTATTAAGCGAATGATTTTTTCTTCAAGTTTCTTGAAGTTGCTGAGGATTTTGTCCCCAACAGCATGGGATTTTAGAATGCGCTTGTCGATTTTGTCGTTTACCTTTTTAATATCATCCTTTACTCCCCCAAAAGATGCAGTACATTTGTCGTCCATGGCTGTTAAAGTCTTCAGTATTGACTCTAGCGTTTCCCTCCGAAGCTCGCCAGCTTCAGATATCTTCAAGTCGTTTCGCGCATGGTCATGTGAAGACATCTAAAAAAACAGTCATAAAGTTAATTTTACCGTGTAAACACTTGAATATTTTTGCAAAATGGGAATTTGCAAAAAGTTTGGCAAATGATCTCACAAATGTGACTTTTAAAGTAACTTCCTTGTTATTAATGCTGTAACTGCTAAGCTGCTTACATCAGGGAAACCGGGAGAATTCTTACTACGCGACTGACCTAACACAAACGAGCGACGGTTAGTGGTCAGTGGTCACCAAGCAAGAAGGCCATGTTTTCTGTCAGCTAAGAACAAAATAGTATTACAATGTCTAAAAGAGGACGGGAAGGGGAAGATGAATTGAAAGCTACTCGTAAGAAGTACTCTGAACAGTCTATGCCAAGATATCAAAGAAATTGAAGAAAGTAAAGCTAAAATATAGAATGATCTTCAACTGCTGAAGAACGATGTATCGAGCAACAAGAGCGAGATAAAGAAGATACATGTAATGTACAGATAAATCGACTGGTGACATACACGATGCAAGCTGCAGAACTGACCGTATTGAAAATTATCTGAAGAAGTTTTCAAAAGACTTAAACAACACCTATGAAAGGTTCAATCTTTCATGTTGCCATGGAAACTACGAAAACGTCACATTTTAACTGTCAATCAAAATCTTTCATCAGTATATTTTTCACTTGCCAAGTCTCAGCTGGTGATCTGCAACCTTTCTCTTACCATGATTTGGCAAATGACATATATTCACAAACTGCCAAAACAGTGTTCAGCCACCTTAACTATAGAAGATCCTCCGTTATTACTTATTCAGTAATTCCCCAAATGGGTCTGTCCCACAAAAATATTATCATAGGTTATGATCCTAATGCCCCCAATACCACCTTAATCACCTTTGTCCTTGCAACCCACATTTTTTGAACTTCTTTCGCAAGATCTTGTTACTTTTCAAATTTCTCATTTTTCTTCCCTCACACCCTTCCATCCTCCACAGTTGCTATATCTTACTAACTGTAACTTATTGCAACGCTCAAGGGTAATTCCCGGCCTTCACCCAGGTTTATATAAAATACGCCATCCATATAAAGATGAATTGAAAGCTGTCAAAATAGGTCATCCACACACAAATATCACATGACCATCTTCGCCTGCTCAGAAAAAAATACCTGGCGTTTTGTCCCTACATTTAAGCCGATGTAATATATCGCACTTACCTATATACGAGGAGGTTAAGGTTTTACACAAAATTCTGCAAAACATGCAACCGAATGTTGGATAGCTTTTTTTAGCTTGCTCAAGGGACGAATCCACGTCATATTATTCAACAGTAGCCCAGTCTTTTTTTTTCAGCTAAATCTACATTTTACTCATTTACAAATGTAGGGACCAACAGGGGCGTCCCCTTCAGTAGTGGGAGAGAGACCGATTAGGCCGTTTCCATGCGCAGGAACTTGCGCAGGAATACACTAACGCAAATGACGCCATGCATCTCATTAAGATAGGATAATGTCATAGTTTATTTTGAGTTGGTAAGGAGCAAGTTACGTCAGAATACCCTAGGGGTTGACTTCATTAAAAATGTTACGATCATAATCTATGAATAGAGACGTGGTGTCATGTCCCTACTTGGTCACGATGATGTCATATTTCTTCAAAAGGGCGAAACAAGGGGTAGACGAATACGAAATCGTACTGATTTTTCGGGGAAAACATGAAAACGAGGTCGAAGCGCAGCAAAGTGAAATACTGCCTGTCGAGCAAAAATGTCAATCTTTGTTTACTTGACTCTGTAGAAAGTATTGTACAGGGTATAAAAATTCTATAGAAAGCAACAGATGGTTCTAAAGTAAACCCTTACTCCTTTGGTTCTTAAATAAATTAAACCACATTCTAGTACCCAATGAGTGGAACGTCTATTAAAAGATAGGAATAAGGGGTGCGATCGGCTAGCAACGCGAGAAACGGCCTATGCCTTCTATTTAGCTCTAAAAATCGGGTATAAACAAAAAAAAAATCGGGTATAAAAAACTCCTTATTTCAATTTTGACTGTCTATTACAAAACCGTTTTCTCCGTTCTATCTCTATTTATAGATTATGTTCTCAACATTTTTGATAACGTCAACCCTAGGGTATTCTGACTTCACCTGCTCCTTGCCAACTCAAAATAAACTATGACATCATCTTCTCTTAATGAGATGCAAGACGTCATTTACGTTAATGTATTCCTGCGCAAGTTCCTGCGCACGGAAACGGCCTAACCGGTCCCTCCCCCCCTACTCCCTTTCCCTTGTACGAGACATTTCATTCCTTTTGAGCTTTTTTTTTTTTTTTTTTTTTTTTCTCCACTTTTTTTTTTACGTCCACCCTTGTTTTTTTTTACGTCACCCCCGCCTTTCCAACCCCAAATAACCTTTCCCCTCACCTTCTATTAAAAAAATACAAGACCTCATTTTCGTTAAAGTATTCCTGCCCAATTTCCTTCGCATGGAAACGGCCTCACCGGTCCCTCCCCCCCCCCCCCCTTCCCCTTCTCCCCCCCCTTTCCTTCCTTTTTGGCTTTTTTTTTTTTTTTTTTTTTTCAAAAAACGCTAGAAATTAAGTTTCATTGTCTTTGCATCTCTTAAACGAGCAAAACCGACAACCTCAACATCCCCTCCTTTGAAACTGGTCTAAGTTAGCGTAAAAATACTTACAAAACTGTTCCTGAATAAATAATCACATAAATAATAACAATAACGATAACAATCGAAAGTGAGAGCCAATCAATGCAATGATTATAAATACCGGTATACAAAAAAGAAAAGACATACTGCTAGGGATGGGCTGCCAATAATTCTTAGTTTACTCTACTCAGTGTCAAGAATTTCGCTTGTCCTGGAACAACAATAACCATTAACAAGTTTCATTGGTTACTGAGTTTAATCAGCATAAAGGATTTGAGTTACTTATGATCAATAAGAAATTTTCAAGAGATCACACATTTTGTTTCGAATTGAACTTAATCTAGTAAAGTAAAGTTTACAATAATTTGATTTGATATGCTCGGCTCTGCATATTTCAGCGTCACAGAAGCTTTAGTAAGTTAGTTCTAATGAACTTTTCGTGCTCATGGAATCTTGTCTCAACCTTTTTCCTTAGGTTTTCTTGTATTTTACCGTGTATCAGGGATTTTGTTCTTGTCTTTTGAAGTGCCTTAGATACTTCATTAAATTTTTCATCCATCATTGTTTCGAGCTGGTCTATTTTATCTTTTATTTCTCTCAGTAGCTTATCGGTCTTTGTTTCTTCAGTCTTGTCTAGTTCGCACAAGTTTTGTACATCGTGAAATAAAACAGAGTCCGACATCACGGAGGCGACTTTAGTGCTTTCATAAATTGATCCCCTTCTAGGACGTCCATGTACTTCGTCAATAATGTGATTTTCAAGGTTCGTGAATTTGCAGAGGATTTCCTCCACAAATTCTTCGGATTTGTCGATACGCTTATCAATTTCACTGTAAACATCCTCGACAGCATCCTTTGTTCCCCTAAAAGACATAGTAAATTTGTCTTCCATGGCTGCTAAAGTCATCAATATTGAATCGAGCTTTTTACTCCGAAGTTCACCAACATCTTGAACGTCAGTGATTTTCAAGTCTTTTTCCACATTGTCATGTGAAGACATCTAGAAAAAACAGTCATAAAGTTTATCTTATGGTAGAAACACTCGAGTTTCTTTGCAAAATATGAATACGCCAAAGTTTGGCATATGATCTTACAAGTGTGACTTTTATGTACTTAACAAAAGAGAAAATCCTCCCTTATTTCTTAGTCAGTGATACCCCAACTGAATCTGAAGTACATAAATAACATTATTATTAGAGAGTTTTAGATCCGAGTTTACCGCGAACCTCTAACCGCGGTTTGCGGTTACCAGTTTGCGGTTCGACGTTCAAACATAATTCGATTTAGATTGGCGGTGGATTAAATTACGGCCGCCACTTTGAATCAACAGCCATGAATGGCACTTGTTTTCAAGATCCAATAGGATTTATAAAATTTAGCATTTCGCCCGAATTTGTGCCTCTGTTAATGGATAAAGACTTGCTTCACAAGACTTTTGAATCACTACGTGGGATGAAACGAGAATTATACGCTAAAAAAGCTTCCAAGTAAATGACATACGTGAAAACCTACCTCCCCACGTTGAAAACGAACGTCGTAAACCTCAAACGTTACGCGAAAGACTTGTCACGTGACCTCCAGCGGTTAGAGGTTCGCGGTAAACTCGGATCTAAAACTCTCTATTATGGCAGTACAAACGTCTGGATGCCCAGAGTAGAAAATAAAAGCTTTGGCTGGGCGGCAAACCGTAACCAGCCGCAGCATCGACTAAAATTTGTAGAAACAATTACACAATAATTTGCGCAAAGAAAAAAAACCTGGGTAAAATTGATTTGATAAAAGTTTCATAAAAGAAAAATAAAATAAATGAATTTAAAAAAAACCTACAAGCTTCATGAACGTCTCAATTATAAAATAAAAATGTTCGTAAATTAAATACGATAGTTCATATAGCTGTCCCTTAAATTATGAGAACGTCCAAGGTATGTCAATAAAATTTCGATTATGTACATGCAAGATTAAGTATCTGTTAAAGTAGGTGTCCAAAACTCCTATAGATACCTAACCGCTCAGCTTGAACATTGTAGCAATGTGTAACGAACTAGACAGGATTGCCTTTTGTATTTGGTGCATAATTGATTCACCCTTGTCTCCTACAAGCTCTTTTATATTTTGCTCAACCTCTTTCGAACAGCCTGCAAGGACATCCATGAGGATGTTATACTGATTGACCTTGTACTCAGGATATCGGTTCGTCAGCTCTAGTCTCAGTTGACTGTACTTCGTTGTCTTCTCAAAATCTTTAGACTCTATATTTTCCAGCCATGGACAGTTCATTTCAATCACTCTGACTTGCTTGATGGTCTTGTCAATGATCGTGGCGTCAATTCTATTAGCTTTTACTTGAGTTGTGTCACCGAATAATGGGACGTCCCAGAAGGCGGTCGCATGCTCATTCTAATACAGCGGCTTGGGTGTGACTTGTGAGAACCACGGTTCACCTTTAGTAATGAGATCTAAAGATCGAAGGACTTCAAAGAATAAGATCTTGAAAGCATTGTTATGTCTCTGTAGGTACTTAGTCTGTGCCATTCCACTACAGCCAGATAGAATGTGCTGCACATTCTCCAGGGAATCGCCGCATGGGCGGCATTTTTCATCAGTGACTTGGGATTTTGTTTTCCTGTTGTAGCAAACCTTGGTAGGTAACAGTTGTTGGTAAAGCTCTTGTACTCCAGCAATGGCATGCGTTGGGGAATTCTTCCATGAAGAAAGCCGTCAATTATTACGTTGTACTGTTCAGCACCGTAACCATTGTACCTCTGCTTCAGCCCCAACACCATGGGCCCATACTTGAGTGTCTTTTCCTCATCTTTCTTGGCTCTACTCTCAATCCATGGAGAGCTCATTTCAATTGTGCAAACTTCTTTTCTCTCGT